ACTCTCGTAATGTTCTTGCAAACGATGTTTTAATTGGGAAAAGGTTTTAAAGTCAGCAGCAGCAGGAGGATGGAAAGGAATTGGCGTTTCTTGAATACAGAATTTGCCACCATTGGGAATAGACAGACAACCTATATAGATTGTTGGGTGCAAATTAAGTAGTAAGAGTAAATGGTAACAAAATAATAATAAAAACTCTGATGCAAGAATGAGAGGCTGTTACGACCTCCAGCCACCTGTAGAGGGAAATCTTTATACATAGTAATCTTTTATAGCTGTATCTATAGGGAAACTAAGGAGAATTACATGTTCCAAACTTTGCTACTCTCTATATGCCACAAAAAGTGCAAGCTGTTTGGTTAATTTTAGGGTGCTTGCCAACTGCCAGAGCCCTTTAGATTAAGAGAAACGGTGTTATTTAGTATCTCCTGATTCTTAGCTACAACCAAGGTGGAGACTGAAATATCTACGATGCAGGTTCTGGTTTAATGCTGTTTCACTGGAAGAAGTGGTTAGCAACAGGTGTTTCGCCTGAGAAGAGTAGTTTTGATTTACTGATCATTTAAAGGTGTGTTTATAATCTGGACAATCCAGGAGGGTTTTATTGTTCGAGGAAAAGAGAGTCATTTCATTGTTTACAAAGTGGCCATGGGCATTAAGTGGTGCATTGGTTTAATGCACCAGCCTTTTACCACTGGAGATCACAGTTCAACTTCTGAGTTTTTTAAGGTACTAGCTAAAATAATAATCATTTTATATATGCAGTATTCTATATATTTACATGTAATGTCTCGTATAACACCTTTCATCCAGAAGGATCCCAAAATGCTTTACAAAACTATGGCTCTGACCTTCCAGCTGCATGTGCATGGGTGACCCCATCACCTAGATGGAGCAGATTGACGTCACTGTGGTTCTATGCCCCAATTCCAGAATCAGGGTCAATAGGCACAAAAATATGGAGGAGATGCTCTAGCTCAAGACTGACATACTGGCAGAAGTGTGGCCTCCAGTGTCAGGGAATGCTGTAGGTCAGGAATGAGGTGCATCAGAAGGGTGGAGAGGGTGCAGTGCACCTGACTTTAAGCCAGTGCTTTCAGTTCTCATTCTCATGGGTTCCAGATTCACCCAGGATTGTGCTGGTTTGTTTAACTACAGAACTGGAATATTGGGCTTCCAGCAGCAACATACTGACATGGTGAATTAGAAACTGCTGAACGTGTCTGGTGTGGTGCTGTGCAGCCCTCACCTATGACTCTTACACCCCTGTATCTTCTGGTCCCTTCTCCCTGGACCCCCACAGAAAAAAATTACACAGATTTTGAATTTGTTTAGCTGTGACTTAAGTCCACTCCTATCTGTCTCCCCGACATCAACAGTCTGGACACCCTACTGCAGAATAAAGCGGCTGTCCATCTTGATGCACATTTCAGCCAGATTCTCACTCTGCTTGGTGAAGATTGGTATGGGACAAGTCTTTCTTCTCTGCTTCCCTCTCCCCATGCCGTTGCAACAGCCAGGACCTGTCATTGGCTGATGACTCCACCAGTACAGGGTTCTTGGTCAGGCGTGATGCCATTGTGCTGTGAGGTGGTGCCTCTGATTTCTGATTCAATGACCTCTATCTCTTCTTGATCAAAAAAATGAATTGTGGTCTTTCTTCCTTTCTATTAGGCAAAAAGCATTTGCATTTCCAGTTCTCCTAATCTCCTTCTGTCTTCTGCCCTGAAGAATCAATCTTCGTCTAGGGGAGACAGCTTGGTCTCTTACTGCTTTGTGGTTTTGCTACTTGAATGCTCTGAATGTAACTTCAGATAATTATTGCCACCATGTTTAGACCAATTCAGAAGCTGAAAATTGTCTTTCTAATTAGGCAAAATGTATATGCATTTCCAGCTCTCCTGATCTGCCATCTGTGGCAGAGTGGTGCTTTCTGATGCACTTCTCCAGCTCATAGAATCATAGAATATCAGGGTTGGAAGGGACCCCTGAAGGTCATCTAGTCCAACCCCCTGCTCGAAGCAGGACCAATTCCCAGTTAAATCATCCCAGCCAGGACTTTGTCAAGCCTGACCTTAAAAACCTCTAAGGAAGGAGATTCTACCACCTCCCTAGGTAACGCATTCCAGTGTTTCACCACCCTCTTAGTGAAAAAGTTTTTCCTAATATCCAATCTAAACCTCCCCCACTGCAACTTGAGACCATTACTCCTCGTTCTGTCATCTGCTACCATTGAGAACAGTCTAGAGCCATCCTCTTTGGAACCCCCTTTCAGGTAGTTGAAAGCAGCTATCAAATCCCCCCTCATTCTTCTCTTCTGCAGGCTAAACAATCCCAGCTCCCTCAGCCTCTCCTCATAAGTCATGTGTTCTAGACCCCTAATCATGTTTGTTGCCCTTCGCTGGACTCTCTCCAATTTATCCACATCCTTCTTGTAGTGTGGGGCCCAAAACTGGACACAGTACTCCAGATGAGGCCTCACCAATGTCGAATAGAGGGGAACGATCACGTCCCTCGATCTGCTCGCTACGCCCCTACTTATACATCCCAAAATGCCATTGGCCTTTTTGGCAACAAGGGCACACTGCTGACTCATATCCAGCTTCTCGTCCACTGTCACCCCTAGGTCCTTTTCCGCAGAACTGCTGCCTAGCCATTCGGTCCCTAGTCTGTAGCTCCTTTCATCTGCCCTCTTCTTAGAGCCTTTGCACAGTCTGTAGTCTCCACTGCTGGGTGACCATATCCAGATTGCTTCACACAGTCATGCTCTAGCTACAGTTGCACAATCATGTGCACACAGACACGTTTGTGCACACACGTGTGTTTCCAGCCATGCAGATACATTTGCACAACTGATTCCATAGAGAATGTTTCCATCCAGTGCAGAAGGAGTTTTCCAGCCTGACTTTAGATTCTCCGCCCTCTTGCCACATGGTGGATGCCATGTGAAGCACTGTCATTTATTAGGGCATGGAAGCATTCTGGGTACTGAAATAACCAATACTAATAACTAACTACCCATTGATGTCAACAATACACACATTTACACCATTTGAGGATTTCCCCCAGTGTTTCTTAAAGCAACCATGTAGCTTGTTAACTGTGTCAGTGTCTCAATTCATATGCTCGTACCTTGCATTATAGTTCCTCATGCTTTGCGTGATCTCCTGCTGCACTGATTCGCTTACATCCAGTTGTGCCCCACAATGGCGCTTATTTCAAGGATGTCACGTGAACTAATTCTAAAGTGAAGAACTTTTCTTTCGAATGGTGGTAATATGCACCATCTTGCAATATATTTGCAAAGTACCAGCTGCATGGTACACTGGCTGTTAAAATAAATTGTGACTAGCGTAAGGTAACATTTGTTCCAGGCTTTCCATTACATCTATATTTATCCACTTAAGAACAATTGTCTGCCACAGCTAGAGATCTAGGCAGTCTCCATGGTAAAAGAGCACCTGAGCTTGTACACTCTTGTTGAGACAAGCTCTGTATCTAGGCAGCCACCCAAATTCCATTCTATGTCCTATTGGCTCTTGGAGTTTTCTCTGAGAGTCAAAAGTAAAACTTACTCTTCTACTCATCTACAAATCTGTGAATTGTAAAGGGGAACAGGATGAATAGGCTGGTGCAGAGGACAACATTGCTTGTAAGGGAATTCCATGAGGAACTCACCAGCTGAGAAAACTACCTACAGAGTATTAATGGTGGAAAGATGCATTGGCCAAACAATATTTTGCTCCTTGCATAGCACCTCTCATATTGACTTACAACCATCTATCAAGAAGGGCTCAGAACACCGCTGCGTGATATGTTAGTAGTAGTACACTCATTTTACAGAGGGGTAAATGGAAGTACAATGTAGATGAGTGAATTGCCCACATTTGCAGTCAGTCAGGGGCAGAACCTGGAAGACAACACAAATACAAGAACTGTCTAGCAAAGAGACTGTCCCCTCCCTGCTTCAGGATGTACGTCTCTGAAAGCCACCTCAAACTGCATTGACTTTTTCCTGGCTCCACATTGCCAGGTGAGCTCATGTCACTCTTTTCTTTTGTTTTATAATCCATGTTAAATTAGGATGAAGACCCTGTTTTAATAGTGTCCGGCATTGGTCTCCCATGCTGCCAGGATGACAAACAAGGTCACTTCTTAGCAAGATGGTTGCTCCATGATATTATAATTGAAATATGTTCTTTCAAATATACACAAGATGCAAAGTTCTTCTTACCATGATGTGTTCCTTCCCTCTTCAAATCCAATCACTGGCTTCCCATCACCTTTCACAATGAGATTAGACTTCTCATCCGCACCTTTGAGGCTCTGAACAGCTCTACTCCTGTCTTGGTCTCTCCATTTGTATCTTTCACTCTGACTGAGCCCTTTTTCCTAGCCACTTGCTTTGTATCTTTCTTCTACTCTGATCTTTGTCCCTCCTTCCCAGATACCCCTTACACCTACTACCCTCCATTTACTCAGATCTCTCCTGGAAACACACCTCTTCTGCAAAGCCTACTACTGATTGCCTGCCTAAGCCAAAAAGACCATCACACATTTGTCTAATGCAAAAATCATTGTATGGCTGAGTTAACTTTCCTCTGCTCATCAGTGCAAGTTTCTCTGCTTTGTTTTGTCTCTCCATTTAGATAGTAAGCTTCCTGGGGCAGGGACTATATCTTCCTCTGTATTTTGTACAACCCTTAGCATGCTGCCAATACTTAACTCATAGTTACCAAAGATCTTCCATCTTGTTGGGCTGAACAAAACAATTATAAACTTGTTTTAACACCTGGAGCCCAGTTTTCAGACATTGATACCTGAATGGAATGTCCAGCTATGGGGTTGGATTGCCCTTTTAAGATAAATATGTTTGAAAATTTGGCACACAATGTTTAGCATGCTGCTAGTTTTAGAAGAAAGGGGGGGGGGTGTACCATAATAAAGAAGATTGATATTTTCCAAGTAGGATTTTTATGCTAAGTTCATGATTAAGCAAAAATTCCAGACAGTTTCTAAATACAAATGTTGAACTACTTGTGAAATAATTCAATATGAAATTAAATATAATTCAGTTTTTAAATTTCTGTTCATATATTCCTATAATAGTTGCAATTCTTGCAAAGGAAACACAAAAACTATCTATAATTATCTGGAACTTACCAAAAATTGTATAAAGCTCTTGAGGTTCCTCAGCTGGCTCTGCAGCCGAAGTTTATAGCACAATGGTGATAGTCTGCACTTCTAATATCACCCATCCACAAGAATCTCCAAGCATTTACCAATACTCAGTCAACCTCATGACAAAGCCCCTTTCCCCTCTACCTATGGTCATCCAATGAGGTAGACAACTATAAGTACATTCCTCTAACTGTATGTAAATTTAGACACAGTGAGGACAGGTGACTTGACCAGGACCTAGGAGTCTTGAGTGCCAGTCCTTTGTTATAACTACTGGTCAACATTAGCACAGGGGAATTTGAAGAAAAATATTGACTCTATTGTTATCCCTTTGGCTCTTCACTGGCAGTCATTGGTGCTGTGATCATGGTACACAAAACAACCACAATGCAGTGGTGTTTCTGAAGAATTTCATAAAGAAACATGCTCTTCAGACTGTTAAGTGTGGCTGCTCCTTCCTGTGTCTCTCCCAGTATTTCTTGTCTTGTCTGTCTTGCCTGTTAGTCTAGGAGCTCTTAAAGTTTTTTGTAGAGCGGACCAGGCTACATCTTAATGCAGAGAGAATCTTGTGGACACTTCTACTCCCATTTCCAGTCTCACACACACTACCTCCTTTCCATTCATATGAAATAATATCACTGTATTAAATACAGCCTTTGTTTATGTGGAAAAGGAATAGGTGGGAAAGTATTTTGTTTTTAGCTTCTTTTTAATGTGATTTAGCACCTTGGAAAAAATGAGAGCCAGTACCATGTGACCAGTTAGCCCTCTGTTGGAGTCCAGTAAATATTCTGTAGACACTGGTGGTTCACCAACCATAATCTAAGACCCATTGGTTTTGCTTGTAAATGGTGAGGCAGAGACTGCCTGATCTTTATGTCATGTACAGGGCTGACCATGCTGTTAGTCCTTAACAAATAGATATTAACTATTGGCAACAGAGAAAAAAGTCACTTGTGGTCTGTATATGCTGGTCCAATGATCCTCCAATTCTCATTTGTACTGCTGGAATCCACTACTTCTGATGTTATTTTTCTGTACCAGTGAATCCACATTTCCAAAAGTATGACTTCTGGGTGGGCGGCAATGCCAGAAACATTGACTTGTGTAACCTAGGAACTGGGCATTCCCTCTGCAGGTTAGTGGCAAAATGACAGCTAAAGTAACCCAGATTCAAATGCAACACCAACTTCTCTGGTTCAGTAGCAACTCTGCTGTTCCAATGTGTTGTAATTTTTGATTGCCAAAATAAATTGCATTGGAAATTAGGATACAACAATTAGACAGGAACAGTGAACATCGAAGGCCAAGAGGAGAAGAGTGATTGAACAAATCTCGTCATTGTAACCCTAGTTACCTCAACACACCCTTCACCTCATCATGTCTAACTTATTGCTAAATGCACTCTACATCTTACTCCTTTTCACAGGGTATCCAACCATCTTCCTCCTCAAGATGATTTGATTTCTGCTGCTGATTGAGTTATTTGGCTCCATGTTCTAACTACCATCTCAGTAAAGAAATTCTGCCTTGTGTTGCTTAAATGTCACTCATCTCCCTACCCTGACCTCTAGCACTGCCTGGGATGCTTGGTTTTGAAGTAGTTAAAGCTTCATGCAGCTTTTTAGCATCTCTTCATAACCGCCTCTTCTCCTTTTTTCTACCACAAGAAGCTTCCCAAAGTTCCCCAAATTATTGTTGCATGTTTTTCTTCTCATTGATCCATCCATCCTGTAAGATGGTTACCAAGCATGAGTACACACTATGCTAAAGGTAATGGGTCTTGTTCGTGAAAAGTTCCAGGTCATTATTTAGTGATGTCAAATTTTAACAGAAAGCCCAATCCAATTCAACAATGGATTCACCAGCAACGGTATCCCAGGTGTCTGAAATATAGTACTGCACCTAATCTAATTTTTTTCCCCATCAGTGTGAATTTCACATCAAGGAGTCATGTGATTTTTTATATATATATATAAATATACCATGCTGACATATTTAAACCTTTGTGCTTTCTTTTTTCTTGATCTAATTATGCTGATGGTTTTCATCTTTTAATCCTAGTACCCCCAGCTACTTTTTCTAGGGCCTGACTTTGTATCCAGTGAGCAAGATCCTGTTCCAGTGTTACCTCCTTGTAAATTACTTTTTAATATAAACAGAACAAATACACATAAAAAATCCAAGTAAAGAAAACTGCAACTATACCAGGTGTTTCAATCTGCTGGGGTTCAAGTTGGTTATAGATAGCATGTAACATACAGCTATTAATGTAATGCGTATGAGATGACAGTAATACACCAAGTGGCCCATTTTGTTGGTTTGATGGCCTGTATGTTCAGATTCTCTAAAAAGTCTATAAATGGAAGCCACATCTATTAATCACTAGCAGCGTTTGTCCTTCTGGCACATGAATTTTAATGTAACACACACACCTCATTGTTGGAGGGAATGTAATTTATATGCTTCTTAAATTATGGTCTTTCTGATTATTTATAATATTGCTTTGTCCTTTATATAATGCCTTTAATACACAGTCTCAATGTTTTAAAATGCCTACTGAACAGCCTGGTAAGGTAGGTAAGTGTCAGACCCATTTTATAGTTGGATAAACAGAGGAACGGAGAGGAAAAGTGCCTTGCTCAGGGTGACACACAGAGCTGGGGGAACATTGAAAATGTTCGTGGAAAAACATTATAATTTAGATGAAAAATTTCAGACCAGCCTTGGTCCTGCAGCAAATCTGGGACTAGAACCCAGGAATCAAGACTCCCAGTCCCCTGCTCTAACCACCAGTTAACATCATTTCTCCATTAGGGCCTTTCATTAACTTTAAACTTTGCCACACTGAACAGCTCCTAGCCCACTACTTCATGTGTACCCCTAATTTATCCAAATCCGTTTGAATTCTATTGCTCTATCCTCTGGATTTTCTGATTCCTATATTGTCTCATCAGAGATAACTAGTGTTTTGTTTTATTGTTCTTTATTTTTAAAGAAATGTGTATCAGTGATTAATTACATAGAAACAGCTCCGTTCTTAATGGGGACCACTGCATGGTGTGCTCTGGATAATCTGATCCCAGGTAAACAAAGAAAGTCCTAGACCTTATCATCATGGTGCTACCCTCTTTACTTCTGGTCACTCTGTACTCCCTTTATGTTTGTAAAGTAGCAAGAGTCAATCCGCTGTTTGTCAACTGGAGAATGAAATCAAAATACTGGTGGGTGTCACCATGGTTTAGGAGAATTCTGTAAATTATATTCATGACTGGGATGTGATCCCTGGCAGGGCTGGGGGCATTGAGAAAGTAGCACTCAAACTAGCAAGGAGTGAGATGAAAGGAGAACATGAGGGCACTTTCCCCATCATTCTGCAGTAGTTCCTCTAACTGATTCTGGTCTTGATAAGACCGGCTCAGCTGAAGACTACCACCCAACCAGAAGGATCCTTATTTCATGATGTGGCCTTGAGGTTGAAGGATCAAAAGGAAAGATGGGATTTCTCCATCCCTTTCAAAAAGAATGCCCCTACTCATGAATGTCTCAAAGGCAGGCTGCACGTGCTAGTCTGCCCCCTGCTCAGGGTAACTGAATTAGTTTGTGTTTAGCAGGCCAAAGGTGTCTTTTGAACTGTAAACTGTATGTGTTGATAACTGATGTTTGTTGTACCGATGCCACTGTCTTTGGAGCGCAGAGAGCCCTGGAAGGTTTCAAGAGTCAGAATGGTCTGCATCACAGGTAGTACTCATCAAAGAACACCATGCCATAGTTCAGCACCTGTTCTATGCAGAGTGCAATGTATCTATACGCACTGTTCCTTCTGGTAACAGTGAAGTTTCCCTTCCAGTTCGAGAGAAGAATACAGAATCCATTGATTTAATTATGCCTCAGTTGTTAGGGAGGCCTAATTCTCTGGGAACCAAGAGATTGCTGATGACTATAAAATATGAAGATGGAAGATAAATTCTCCATTTAACATTTATCAGAAGAAGTGGGAACTGTTGTTTGCAAGGTACAGCATCACCTGCTAAAGATTCTTGCCTTTCCTTTGGATTGGTTCCGTTGTTGTTGTTTGATTTATTTAAAACGAGTGATTCCCTGGGCATTGTATTTCATTTTAGCCCAGCCTTGAGTTGGGTTCTAGCAGCAGCTAGAGAAGGTAGAGAAACAGCTGTCCTGCTGAGGTGGAAATTACTCACTCCTGCTAACAGGGATTGTTCTTGTGGGAGAGGTTTGGTTCTTGTTGGAAAAGGCGAGCGCCCTCCTGGTTTATTCAGAAGATGTTTCATATCCTGTGGAAGAGCAACAAGTTAGTTCTTGGAATGCAATGGGTTAGTTTTAAAAAAAATCAGTCAGAAGAAGGGGAAGAGGTAGAGACTGAAGGAGGCCCCTCTACTGTTATGGAGGGTTTGCGATCCAGCAAGGGAATGGTTCACTATTCATACTTTATCACCAGGTTAATCCTAGCTTCACAGCTGCGCCTGTGTCTTCTCATACCACCGGAAACAAGCTCAAGACAATGAGCCCTTCCATTGCATTCTCCTCCATCCTCACAGGACTAGGAGGAGGAACTTTAAGCATACAAAGTCGGGAGGGAGACTGGGGCGCATGTAATCACCACCCCATTCATGTTAGACGCTGGCAAACTCCCCTCTGGCATCCGGGAGCCAGGCAAGGCTCCGGTGGATGCCTGTGCTTCCTGAAACACATGCTTAGCCTACCATGTCTGTTCATCCAAGCTGCTCTTCCTTGAAACTCCTTGAAGATGGCATGTTTTACAGCTGCATGGGTGTCCCCATCTGAGGCCCTCATGTGACAGGAGCTGTCTTCAGTCCAAGTACCAGTGTCCTCCTGCCTGCAAGACTCAGTCCTGCAGCAAAGGTCATGCCTCCATGCGCACTTGCTAAAAATAATGGCCAGGGCTGGAGTTCTGTGCGAGGGTTGTAATGTAGCAGCTCTCTATAGCCGAGAGAGGCAAGTCCTGGGTTGGGGCGTGCGGGGACGTGCTGATGGCAACGCCTCTGATCGTGCTTTCTGGCAGCTGCCTAATAACAAAGAGGGCTCGTCGGCTCTTTTAAAAAGCCAAATCTCTCCCTGCGCCTGGCGACGCCTATGATGTGATCTGTAATAGCTGTGATTTTTCCCAATGTTGCTGTATCACTAGCAGTAGTTGGCCATGTTATTGTCTGGCTACAAAAAGAGAGAGAGAGAGAGAGAGAGAGAGAGAAGCAGCGTTACTTCATTGATCGCAGTGTATTGACATTAGGAAATTCATTGCGAAAGAAGTTGATAATAATTAACTGAGTTAATAAATAAAGAATGTGCTATACAGATTAGACAGTAAATAACTTACTACCTTCTTGATTCTCCTTGCATTTTGTTTTTCATTCAGTCAAGGTGTGAAGTGGGTTGGTTGGTGGGGATTGGGAGGGGAGGAGGTAAAATATGCACTCTTGAGAGAGACTATTTCCACCCCATCAATAAACCTTTTCTTTTCCTAGGGTGTGTGTGTGTGTTTTTTTTTTCGAGTCTACCAGTCACGATTTTAATTTTTAGCTACATGCCTTGTGCCATCTTCCAACAACAAGAGATCTGTTTAAAAATAGCATCGACCTATTGCGCTCGCCTTTTGTGGATATTTTAAGAAGTAGCTGTGTCCTTTTGTCTCACAACTCAAGAGCAAGCGAACTCACCTTGAAAGGTCCTGATTACCTTACTCGAAAACATACAATGACTTTGGGTTGGCTCCCTACCCCCCATCTACCGGGAAGCCAAATATATTAATTCTTTTTCCCTCCTAATGCTTGTAATATAGTTTGGGGGGGCATATTTTCTGGTTTGGAGATGGGCAGGATGGCGAGTGTGAAGGACCTTTCTTTGCCAAATAAACTCTGCATTTGTCAACAAGACAATTCCTTTTGTTTGGTCGCTGCTTCGTGCATGGTGTATGTTTTTTTTAAATTATTATTATTGTTAATTTGGGGGCGGTGGGGGTGTGTGTGCCACTGTATAACATCAGATTTAGCCATTTGCGTATAGCAGCATTATGATTTTTAATTGCAATTTCATTTGTTATTCTCTCCCCCACCCCCTCTCTCTGTATAATCTGGATCATTGCTCTCTGTAGCTGATTCCGTGGGAGACCAAGCAGAGTGCGTGGGTGCAGAATATAGAAAGCCAGAGCCATAGAATCTGTTATTTGCGTCACTCTTGGAGACGGGGTTGTTTGCCTGACAAATATACAGAATTAATCCTAGTTTTATCAATATCTGTCTTTTGCTACAATAGCCAAACACGAGCGTAAGGTGGTGGGGGGACTAGATGTTGCTGAATGTTGATGGTTTTTGTCCAGAAAGCTGCGGGAGGGTGCGAGTGTGTGCAGGAGAGGGGGTGTTAAAATATATTCAGCAACCCCTGTGCTGTTTGCCTGAGAAATACAAAATCTCAGATTTTATTCCTGTTTCTGTTTGCTACAGTTGCCAAACATGGGGTGGGGAGATGCCCCTGCATGGTCTGTCTATGCAGTTTTCTCTCGCTCTCTGTGTTTTTCTGCGTGTGTGTGTGTGTTTAAAATATATCCATACCCTCAGGACATATTTTTCCCCCCTCTCTCTCATAAATACACGCACACCCCATAGGATTTTTGTGCAACTGTGTGGAAAGCTGCATAACACAAAATATGGGGCTTGCTAATTAACTCTTTCCCTCGAATTGAAGTGCTTTTCTGCAAGCACAAAGCTCCGAGCACAGACATCTTTTATGATGAACTAGAGCCTCTGAAGAGGAGAATCTGAACGTGACGTCAATAGCTGATAACTGACGCAGCCTTGCAAAGGAGTCTCAGGCTGGCTCCTTGTAGCCTGCAAGCCCTAATGATTCTATTTTTTCCCAATCCCCCCCTCGTAGTGAATGATTAGAACGCGCACACACAAACCAGATTTCATGTATAGCTATATATAGACAGAAAGCTTCTTTATTCTCCAAACAAAGGAATTTGTGTGTGTGTTTTTTTAAAGCAGTGAGTGGGGTGGAGAGAATTAAAGAAAACCCTTTCTTTGTGCATCCAGTGTATGCAACCATCGCTCTGTCTCTCTCGGCAAAACAAGCTTCCCTGCCAGAACCCCACGTTGGTGCATAATGTTAAAGTGGTGCATGGTGGTGGTTGTGTTTTGGTGGTTGGTTGGTTTTAAAGCCCACTTCATAAAGACCCTGCAAGTAGACAGACACAATAATGCTTACAAGGCAACAGGCAGAGAGACACAGAGAGAGACAGGCTCAATACAACTGTGGATTGGGGTTTTGTGTAATAGGACAGCATGGAAGGCGGTCGTTTTTTTGTTTTTGGTTTTGTTTTGTTTTTAATTCTCTGCCATGATGCACCTAAAGCAACCGTGGATGATGGTGCAGAAAGAAGCGGGGGGTGATTTTGGAGGGGGGGGGGTTGGTGGGAACGTAATGCACATTTAATGTTTTGGATGTAACGTTCCAGCGAAATGGCTTTGTGTGTGGATTTTTTTCCCCAGTACCTGCTAAAAATAGCATCAGGGTTTTGATCGCGTTCCAGAAATAGACAGAGGGTTGCACTTGTATAAAAAGAGAGCGCTGGTGGAAGAAAACCTGGACATCACCGCAGTATTTTTTTTCCAACTCCTGTCTGGAAATTAATTGTTGGATTTTTCCTCTCTCTCTCTTTCTCTCTCTCTCTCTCCTCACCCCCCATTCTCGTCCCGTCCCTCTCCCGCCCCCCTCCCCCAAGCAAGGAGTTCCTGTTTGGGTAAGTAGTGATATTTCCTGTGCATGCTGCAGAGAGTGACTTTATTTTATGCATGCTTGGTTTTATTATTTTATTGTTTCTGTTAAACCGAGGGGGAGATACTCGTTTGCATAATAAATTTGGTGCATGCACGGAACCCAGAGACAGGGAATTCTTACAGAAAGGGGAATCACCCTGTCGGTAAATCTCTGAATCAATAGCGAGCTGCAACTCTCTCTCTCTCTCTCTGTCGGCGCTATTGAGTCCTTCATTCTCTCTGTACCTATCCACTCTCTCTTTTTATTTTTCCAATGGGTGGCTAGACACACTGTAATGGCAAAACTCGCTCCGCAGACTGAGAGGGGAACTCTCTATAGATTGCTTACAGAGAGCCTGTCATATGCTGACACTACAGTCCCCTTATCCCTTGCAGCTCGACCAGGGGAAACTACCGAAGCGCAGGCTGTCTGGGAGCTGTCCACTAGCTGAGGTGCTGAAATCGCTGCACCGGCTGCTTAGCTTGCGCTGGAGGAGTTCACTTTCTTTATTCGTTCGATCTAGCCGCTGTCTGTAGGTTTAATGGCTTTCAAAGGATGTTGTAATCTCTGCTGCACTCTCTGAAGGACCCCGGAGGATGCTGAGATCCCTGCTTATTCTAAGCTAAGAGTGGCTGGGCGCTTCCCTCCCATTCAGGTTTCCCCATCCGTGCGTAAACTCTGCTGCTGACTCTGCTCGGAATCGCCTGCCCTTCCCGCCTGTGTGTTTGAAACAGTCTGTACCTGATGATGGTGCTTAGCAAAATAAGAGGCTATAGGTTGCTTTATTTGGACTCACCCCTTCTCCTCCCACCTCATTTTCCCCCCTCTAAGTGCTCACACCTTCTACAGGTCGTGTGTGTGTGTGTTGTTATTGCCTTTCCTTCGCGTCCTTAGTCATAACCTCACCAGAGGAATTGGTGGAATGACTGAATTAGAGGCGAAGTAGTGGGGCGATTGTTGTGTGTACGAAATAGATGCAGGGTTACTTCAATGCTACAAACACCAATCATCCCCTTTTGGAACCAGGGATATTCTTGCTAGGCTAGGAGCATGCAGGTTTATAGGCATTTCAGTTAGCAAAAACATGTCAGCAGGTTGCATTAAATCACACATTGACACTGTACAACATTCACATGCATCAACCCATTCTCCTTAACATGAGAAGGAAGAGGAAATTAATTCCCGACCTGATGGGGGTGGGGGTGGGGGGTCTTTTAGCCGCAGACTTATTTCTATACCTGCAAGGAGTAGAAATATTAAAGCCCGACAATAACAAAGCAGATTTCAGTAAGTACATCTAGCTAGCTCAGCGAGACAAAAAGCAAGCTTATAAAATGGTGCACCTACCACTCCAAGCCCAGCGACAGTTGCGGATCCTGCAGACAATGACATGATGCAGACATGAACATCGGTATAGCATAGGACATATTTATTTGTTTGTTTGGCAAAAGCACATCTTGGCTAACATTGCAGGCAGTAACTTTATATATATAACAAGGCATCGTTTCTTGCAATTAATAAAACACAAGCCTATGTATTCCTAGCACAGTAGAATGCCACCCACTAATGTCCTTAATGTAGAAATCGTCCCTTTCCCGAGCCTGCGTGGTCGTATTTACAAACTGATCATTTAAAAAAAAATCCACTTACAACACGTGTAGCCAATTACTGTAACTCTTAATATAGCTCTATAAAACAGTCATTAGCAACCAGAAATGCTGCCCTCCTTTCTCCCGCTCCCTCCCTTCCCCGACCCTCCCCTCCTAGATCATTGCATCTCTTGGCACAATGCATAAGATTACCCTTAACTGGATCCTATTAAATAATTCAATGGTGGCGGTGTAATTTTGGTTGGAAACTGCACGGATTTCCAAGTCGTGACTGTAAAAGTGAGTAATGTGCGCTGGCTGCGTCATGGCTCCAGTCACAGATGGTTCCAAACTGAGCAGAAATCGTGACTTCGACTTGAGACGTCCCCTCTACATGAAAAGACCATCCAATCAAAACGGCGTCAGGGGGGCAGCTGGACTCCTCGGATCTCGCTTTCTCTTTGCTCTCCCATCCGTGCGTGTGTGCCTGTATGTATGTGTGTGTGTATATATATATGTGTGTGTGTGTTTATTTATATATGTACGTGTGTGTATTTATATATATGTGTATGTGTATACACACACACATATATACACACACACACACACACCAAGTTGCAGAAGGGGAAGGGAGTGGAGGGGTTAATCTTGAGGAATCTTCTGCACTTAGCAAGATCGTGACCCTCCCACACAGTACAGTAACTTATATACATACCTGGAGGAAGGAATGCTTTGCTTTGGGCTTCCTAAAAATATTTGGTGATGGCTGCACCCTCCAACATGCTCATAGGACCGGGCACTGATGCACCCACAAAGGTAAGTGATGGGGGTTTAAAACTTTTTAATATTGTGATCAGAATCCCCAACTCTGCAGTCAGCCCGGACGTTCGGTTGTTTCGCTTGGAGTTTCTAAAGCAAGCTGGTGTTGTTCAGAGCAGTCCGCAGTGAGGCTAGCAATACTTTTGAGGGAAGATGCAGGGGCGCGTAGGTGGTTTGGATCTAGAAGTGTGTGTTGTGGTTGTGGTGATATTCCCGGTGTGAGTTTAGTGTGCCATTATAAGCTGATAAGGCAGGAACTTTGCCTCTCTGCACCTCATTTTGGAGAGTGTATATTGATCAGGGACAGTATTTTCAGTGTGCGAGCAGACAAGAGATTAACTTTCAAGTTCTTGAGTTATTGTTAGTTCTGCGAGTCCTAGTCGATCTTCTGTACGATATCTTCAACTTGACTAGGAACCCGGTTGATGCCTGGGGGGAAAGTGGACACTAATTTGCCTTTATACTGCTGCTGATCGGCACTAGGGAGGCTCCTAATTTCCAGCAGGCTTTGTTCAGAAGATCTCTGGAGTAGTTCTATGACACATTCATGGAACTTTTATTAACTGAAAAGGGGGTTGCTTGGGCTGAGTTGAAGCTTAGAAGTCACGATGGTATTAATAGTTGGTAATAAGTGGAAAGTAGGCAGTTTCGTCTCTCTTCCCTCCCTCTCCCCCCACCCCTCATATCTTGGGTGCTCAGTCGACTGATGAATTGATATTGGTGGCATACATTGGCCATTGATGGGTGGCAGCATCAGCATAATTTGCTGACAAATGCCCTGGCTAGTTTTAGATTACTTTAGCTTCCTTCATTGTTATTAGACTTTGGGCATCTCATTGTCTTAAATATACCTGGAATTAATTGCTGTTTGGATATATGCATAATCCAGGTCCTCTCTTGATTTGATTTATTATAATTTAATTGTGTCTCTTTTGTTCTGGGATTGCATGGCAACACTACTGAACGTGCTCTTGTCTAGGATTTGTTGAATAATTAGAAATGGAAATGTTTCTCTCCCCCCCCCCCCCCACCGCTCCCCCTTTCGAAAAAAAAGGAAATGTGAGGCGTCTCCTGATTGGTGGGTGACGATTTTAGTCCGCACCAATGAGCTGTCTGCCTGGTCTCTATTTATTTAGTGCTCAGGGGGAGAGTTTTCTCTTTACGCAGCGCCTGTGCACAGCGCTAGACCCTCTGCTCGGGAGCAGAGAGATGGGGGGACATTCCGAACTCTACCTTGCTCACAAAGCCCCCAGATCCTGCAAGCCTGGGCTCCCAGCTCCTTGGCGGGGAGGGGGAAAGAGGAGGACAAGAGGGGGCCCACTGTGATGGGGATGGGCTAGGGGAACCCCCCCTCCTCCCCCACCGCTTCCTCTCCTGAGTTGGGTACATCGCCTTGGGTTTGGAGAGGGACTTGGTCGGGATGGAGGGGGTGGGGAGGGATCCTGGTGTGTCTGGGAAATAATCAGCCGATCGCCTTTGGGTCGTGTGGATATTTTGGTGGCAGCCGGATGGATGGATGTAGGAAGCCGCAGGAGACTTTGTCCTTCGCGAATCTTTTTGCGGTCTGGGCTTGCTGTATATAACTACCTAGCCGGGAAGCCCTTACCCCAAAAAGCATTCGCGGAGGGCGCATTCGCCGAAGGAGCAGCAGCTGCGATCGCCGAGCATTGGACTTATCTAGACTCTCTTGGCTTCTTTACCTTCCCCCTCCCTCCTCAATCCGGCCCCAATCCTTCTGTCCTGTGTGTATATGTGGAAAGAAATAAACACCCTCTCCCCTTCCCCACCCCGCTTGGTCACCGAGACATTCAGTTATTCACCCTCGTCTTCCAGCCTAACTTTGTAATCGACTTTTGCCTAACGGGGCGGATCACACGTTTATTCGGGTCCTTTTATTGTGGATTGTATTTAATTATTTTTTCGTAAAAAAAAATAAAAAAAATAAAACTTCCCAGAAGTTCTCAGCCCCTCCTCCCCCCACCCCCAAGGATTTTTTAAAAAGGGGATTTTCAGTGGATCGAAATGATTTAATTAAAAAAAACCTGAAGCGGTTCATTAAACTGTCTCTTTAGCCGGGAGATTGGGTTTATTTCGAGGTGGGGAGGGTGGGATTTTCTGGGATCACCCCATAAAAAAGGGAGGGAGGAGGAGAGGGAGGCGCACGAATCAGCCGCGGTTTGGGGGAGACCCCAGTTACCAGGAGATGCACCATGGAAGCGCTTGCCAAAAGCGCCTCCCTGCACACTTCCACCCTGATTTTAGGCAACTTGCAGCCCGTTGATTCCCCAAATCATCCTTTCCCCAACACAAAGTGGCCCCGAAAGGGGTAAAAAAAGGCGGAATCCGGGGGGAAACCCAGCCGAGGCGATGCTTTTGGGCGAGGTGATTGCAGGCGAGCAAAGCAGCATCAGCTCTCTGGCTCTGAAACTGCCTTGTTCCAAGCACACAGCAGTGAGAGCATCTATACAGGAGTTAGGAAGGCTGCATTCCTTCTCTTTGCAGTAATTACCAGGGGCGGATTTCGTGGGCCACAAATCAACCCCCCCCCCCCTCCCTAATTGCTGACCCCCAAAAGAAAAGCGATTTAAAAAAGTATACCCGTGAAGATCAGCCCGGGGAAATAGACAGGAGCTGAGCAGCAAGTTGGCAGTGGAGTGCCCGGCTGACGCAAGACAGGGGCCTGTGGTTCAAACGTCTGCAATTTTTTTTAAAAGGGATTATTATCTAAGATCGGAACTGTTAAAAACCACCAGGGTTCCCCTCCCTGCACCCCTCTACTCTTCACAGAGGGGGATCCGGCTCGGAAAGGGCTGGCTTTGTATTTGAAAAAAGTCTGCATTGAAGACCCATAGGGCGAGGAGCACAACCGAGGCAAAGAGTTAATATTTCTCCAGAGATAAAAGATATTTTGAAGCCCTGGTTGTACTTTATAAGAGAGTGAAAGGCTGGCTAAGGGATAAGCAGGGAAACAAGGCGAAAGCAAAAGCACCTTGCTGTTTCCCCGCACCCCTACCTTAGCCAGGACACGTAACTGGCTTGGTGAGAACAAAGGTGGAAGGGTCACAATATCTCTCAAACAGACTTGCATATTCCCAACTGTTTGCTCTCTCCCCTTTGGAAAAATAGTGTTTGTCCTTTCCAATCGCCAGCAAACCTCTGTCCAGGGCTTCATGCATGTGAGCATCTTTTAAAGGGAGACAAGGTTTTAGAGGGAACTTAAAAAAAAAAAAAAAAGGAGTGATGAGACGGATCAGCAAAGATCAGGCTATGGAAACATCTTCACCATTTCCTACTTAGCCTGGCCCAAGGGAATTTAAACCAAAGGTGATTTTTGGGCAGATCAGAAGCGAATGTAAATCCGAGCCACCGTGGTTTAGATTCACATCTCTTTACATTGCCAGCCAACTGTTGCTACCATTCTGGGGACTGCTGCTGCAGGAGTGTGAACGGGGACTTCTCCTTTCAGCTACATCAGGGGGCTACTCCCAAGCTTTGCTCTCCAACATAGGGGGCAGTGAAAAAGAAAAGCGAGGCATTTGTTTCTCTTCATTTTATCTTTTGGAAGACTTCCTTTAATTGGTGGAAAGTTGGAAACTTGCATCAGCCCTGATCATTTAAACAGCAGCAGCAGCCTCCACGCAAGGGCTTGGGGGCTGCACCTTAAGAAACATGGCAAATACCCCATTCCTAAACCTGATCAACCAGAAAAACAGCCGCGGAAAGAGGCACCTTTTGGATCGATTAGATTCTCCTAGCGGATTAATTTGCAGCTTCTTTAAAAGGGTTATAGTTATTGATGGTTCCCTCCGCCTCTTCCAGACGGATACCCAATTCACAACATTCCCTTGACTCCACTAAGGGCCTCACTCTGACACCAAACAGTCTTGTCTATTTCATTTCTTTATGAAAAGCAACAGCCAAACCCGCCCGCCAGCTCAGGCTAATGCTGGTTTTAAACTCCCTGAAGTTACGAGGTGCAGTTGCTTTAGCAAGGGAGAGGGTCAAGGGGCGGGGGGCTTTCCTCACCTTTACTGCTAACTGTTTTGCACTGAAGGGTTTGTTTGATTTGATTTTTTGAATGAATATGAGTGTTAAAGGCGAGTCTGGGCAGATTCAGATCTGCCCCTAGGCAGCAAAAATGTTTCCCTCCTACATTTCATGGCTACTTTTAAATGTCTGACTGATCAGAGCCCAACTCTCGCTAACACAGCCTGGGTGTCTCCGCAAAAGCGAAGGTGAGTCAAGAGGATGCGCACAATTCCTCTCAGAAAGTGAAGTTCAAAGCTCCAGGGGGTGGGAGGGGATGTCTGCGCCTCTCCCTCGCCTTTCCCCCAAATGTTTAGCTAACGTGCTCTGCATTCACTTAACGTGCTGTCGATCCAGCAACCTTCCCTCCTGGGTGACATGGTCTTTGGGTAAGTTTCGGGCCTCAGTGTCCTGTTGAACCCAGTGCAGGGAGATGAGAACTACCCCGCTGCTTCTTACTGCATAGACACAAGTTTTTTAAAAAATCCTCTGTTCTTGCAGCTCTCTTCTTTAGCACCTCTGGGCGATGTGCAGCACATACGTGTAACGGGTGTCTGTGTCTCTCTTTCAGGCTGGCTTAGACGACCATCTGCTAAAGGCTACTCGGAGGTTCCGGATTCTAGTCGATGGAACAAGAGGAAGACTCCAGAGCCTGTAAGACCAGGTGAGAAACACACAACAGAAG